CGGTTGTACCACCAACTGGTACCCCGTGTGAGGTATAGTACTGTTGGTAATTATTCATAATTCTGTGATTTTAATATTTCAGCATATATTTTGGGCCAATACCCAAATATTAGATTTCACTCTAAAATTTTCCAAAAGATTGTAAATTCAGTACCATGAGTCTGCCATCGCAGTAGATTTCCAGCTGTACTTACATACAAGTACTTTGTGGTAAAATTCATTTATTAGAATATTGATCACGTTAAGGCCTCAGTTTAACTCAAGAGGTTGCTATTACTGCTAGCTAGACTGTTAATGCCCTGCATATCAGTTAGTGCATGTGATATTTGTTGTGCCCACTAGAGCTGCTAGATGGTACTCTAGCTACTAGGTAACAGGTAAAGAACTACATTAAAACCAGCTGTCTGCAGGGTAGGACCGCAGAGGAACTGCTTGTGTACAGGCAACAACACGAGCAAAGAGGAACCGCGAACCAGCTGTACTGGTCAGTGAACCAGCCAGAGGAACTGGCTGTCGTACAGGCACAAAACAGCAGAGGAAACCGGAACCAAGCTGTCTGCAGGTAGAACAGCAGAGGAACCGGCTGTGTACAGGTAGAGCAGCAGTGGAACCGGTTGTTTTGCTTTGCTGTTATTCCATTGTGTTCCTTTAGGGTTAGGGTTACCCTGTAAAATGTCAGTGGACTGTTGCTGTCATTGCTTTGTGCAACAACAAACATTGGAGAATGATATGTTTATCGTGAGGCCTGATGTGTGGGCCACAGAACGTATCCCATGAGCCTCAGCGACACTGAAAGCTTTATGGGAGCAGTAGTTTTTACAGCTGTATATGTTGTATAATGTTACTGTGCAGTAGGTACTCACTGCTGTCATGCTAAGCTAGCAGCCAGCTGAAACAACCACAGGGACTAAATATATCCATGATGTCACAGTTTGGTTCTAGCCTCTGACACTGATACCGTTGTTTATTTTTATCTTACGGCGAGCATGTGGTCAGGCACCATAAACCAAACGTAGAAGATCTCATTAGAACATTCGGAATATGAAAAGAATGTGAGAGGCTCTGCAGTTTGTTAGCGCTCAGCTCGTCTGCAGTAACGAACCGCTAACGAGTCACAGGAACCAATCAGTGTGTCAGTGTGTCTGTGAGTGTGTTTGTGT